AAATGTGGTAAGGTGAAACTTGTCTATACTACTTTAAAGAAATCAACATTCGAAAACTCCTGTAAAAAATTTGAACTTAACCCAATAGTTAAATTAAAAATTATAGTTTTTTTGAGTCATTATTCTGATTTGACACGACTAAACCTACTTATAACTTAGATTTGTCTCATTAATTTATAAATACATTTATTAAACCATTCACGTAATCTATCTCGAGTAAATTCTTATCTAGTTATAACAAATTCATACCTGACTACTCAAAATCACTTATGAAAATTATTGTGTGAATAATAATTTTTTAAAATTTTAATTGAAGTTTTTTTTATATATATAAAATGGACAAAACATGTATGATTTTACTCATAAAGCATACTTGAGAGAAAAAATTCATAAAATTATAATTTTTATAGAAAATTATCGATTAGTTATATAACTGTATTCAATCAACCGGCTAGCCAGTAGTTGTCACACTTCAAAATATGAGATATTTAAATGTTGCTATTTTAAAATGTGGTAAGGTGAAACTTGTTATTTTACTAAATTTTTTTCAAATATTATTACTTTGCCAAAACTTTTAATTTACTTTGCTAATTTAAAAATAAAAATTCATAAAAAGAAAAAATCATAGTGAGAAGTGGTCAAACCATCTCGAGCAAGTACCTGAACTGTCTTTAAACAGCCTCAACACTAACACAGAGATGCACATAATTTATGCAAACAAGGAAAGAAACTTTTGCTTTCAACCTTTTTTTAGCAAAGAAATGATGAAAAACATGGCAAGTATCATGGGAGCATAATCTAAAATATCCTTGTATAGCAAAACGACAATGATGTTCAAAATGGGACCAAAAGAGAGAGAAATTCGAGCACTTGGATGCTTACCAGTCATCACAAAGATTTGCATTAGATAAAGTAGATGATGCTGCATTTGTTTGTATTAAAAACATCCTTACAGATTGGACAGAACATGCTTTGTCTTTTAGGAAGTGAATAAATGAAACTACTATCAATGGTGAATGGACAAAAAGCATAATCAAAGGAAACTGAAATATAATGCCTGCAAAGCACGATAATAAGATAAAGCTCCACATAACCTTCAAGAGCACCCAAGGAGATAATTTTGATTTAACACTGCTCAAAGTTGGCATTACTGCAGGGATATGTTCCCAGACTTTGAATGCACTAACCCCACCATCTACCAACGAAACCTGATCATGTCCAGGAATAAACATGCTTGCCTATCTTATTCAACCAAATCCAGAAACAATGGATTGCAGTGCTTGCCATCAAACAGCAAATGAATTAAAAAAAAAATAGTCAAGCTTGTAGCTAATAATTTTGAGTTGTTTGAGAAAAATAGGAATAACCTCTCACAGGAGCACAAACACGAGCCCCCGAAACATTAATTTCATGACTGGAAATTAAACATCAATAAATAAACAAAATGACAATAAAACCAAGGTGAATTCAGCAAATGGATGTCCTGCACTCCACTCGGACACTCCAGGAGTTTGAAGCAATTAGAAAATACAAAACAAAAGGTATGATTAAAGTATACAAACGAGTACTCTGATTGTTGGAGCACAAATACAGTTTTATGAGTATTGTTGTACAATCTTAAACACCTACTTTAAAGTAATATCCACCATAACGTGATACAGAAAAAGAAAGACAAAACAGAAGGTACAAAGACTGGAATATCACTTCTATTACAAATAAAACACTATAATTCCAAAACTCAATATCCAGAAACGAAAGTCCAAGTTACCACATACAGCTATCCCCAAATTGTTTCACAGTAGCTCATGTTCATTGTGGCTGTGTGGTTCTAGGCTGTTGCTGCTTAATATTATCTGTATTTAACTGTGCCATAGCCTCTGATAACAAGATTTTTGTGGCTGGGGTCATGGTTTGGTACTGGGAAGGCAAAGTTGGAGGCGGAGGCTGAGACTTGTATATTTGGGCATGTACAGGATCGTCATCAATTTGTTTACCAGTCTCCATAGAAGCAGCACATATGGGCAGACCTTGGTGATTCATTTGAGGAGGCCCTCCACCCTGTTTCTGATTTAAAACATGTGGTACAGTAACAGGTGAACTTGTTCTATAAACTTGTGAAGTTAACTCAGCTACAGGTAAACTAGCAGCGGCATTGTACACCATTTGAGCAGGGTACATGGACGAATCAGGATGTATGGGAGGACGACTAGAAGCAACAGTTGCAGTGTTCATCAAACCATTTTGCATAGGCAAATTGTAAGGCTGTGCAACAGGCACTAGGTATATCGGCTGAGGTTGGTTGCTCTGATAATAAACCTGCTGCTGAGGCACTGGAGAACTCATCACATAGTAAGAAGACAATGGCAACATACCAGTTGCGTTCTGGGGCACATACTGCGGGGCAGCTGTTTGAACACATTGCAGCTGTTGTAACTGATCATATTGTAATGGCACTGGATACCCAGAAACAGGAACTGTATTATGCATCTCAACCCCAACGAGAGGAGGAGGATTAGGGATTTTCCTCTCTGACTCAAATGGATTTATTAGAGAAACTTTATTCTCCGCTGAAGTGACAGCCCCAACTGGATCTTGATATGTCACAAACTGTGGATCTTGACAAACTGCAGTTCCCACACCATGATCACTGCAATAACCAGAGTTACAACAACCAGTTACACTCATTTACAGCCAAAATAACATGACTTTAACATTTAAAACATCCAAATTCCTCTCATTAAACCTTTCATAAAACAAACCTCGAAGATTCACACCCAAATGAAACATCAAAAACGAAAAACTACTAACAATTAACAACCAATTATATTCATCAATATCAAAATAAAATAACTTTACCACAAAAAGGCATCATATGCATTCTCCTCAAAATTCCCGAAACATAAAAAGCAAACATCTACTACATAATACCTAGCAATGATTATATAACAATTAAAGATGTGATCATTTGAGTTAAATACGTTTCTACTAAAAAGAACAGAACTTCAACATCCTAAGAATCTAAATCTGCATACTTCTCAAGATTATCGAACAACAAATGCAAAACTAGCCTTAAAAAACTCAAAACAGAACATAAAAAACAGAGTTTTAACAACAATACCTTGAAATCCCTTCTGGGGTTGACAATTGAACCTTATTATCCAGCAAACCAGTCCCATTATCCTCAACGAAACCACCTTTAACACCCAAATTGGATAACGAAACCGAAGACGAAGTTGACCCAAAAGAAGAAGAAGTTTCCAGGACCATGGACTCAGCTCCACTGAACCCACCACCATTATTACCATTACCCTCAAGATTCACAATCTTTGTATTCTTCAATGCATCAACAAACCAAGTTTCAGTCTTTGGATGATTTAATTGAGTTGTGGCCTTTAACTCGGGCTGACTCAAAATGGGTTTGGTTGGAAACACGAATAATCTAAGACGTGAAGGTGTACGGTTGTTTTGGTGCTCATCAAGCATGATAAGGACATCTTCATCTGAGGCAAGTGAAATGAGAGAATCAAGATTGTGATGTGGAAGTTGGTATTTTAGAGTGATTGGTACGGTTATTTTCAGAGTTGTCGATAAGTGAGAGATTAAAGAGGAGAGCGTGAGACCGTTGGAGGTGGTGTTTGTGGCGGTAGCGGAGCTGGTACCAGTAGGGATGGTGATGAGACGGGTGTCACCACCTGAATAAGAGAGGGATTTGGTGTGGGGGTTTGGGATTATGTGGCCATCGTAGCTGCACATTAGACGGGGTTTTGGGGTGGGGGGGGGGGGGGGGGGGGGAGTTTTGGAGTGGTGGTCGGTGGTTGAGGTTGTTGTGGTGGTTGAGGGTCCATTTTGGTGGCGGTGGAGAGATGGTGGAGGAGGTGCAGATCTAAGGAGCAAGAGATGGGATAGGGTCACGTGATAGCGTTTTTTATACAATTTGGTGGACTTCTACTGCGGCTCTAAATTAGGATAAACAATATTGCTCCTTGTAGATATTCCAATATTACACTTTCATCCTATCATGTAAACTTTTCCGGTCAAATCTCTTATAATTATTTACCAGTTTCAACGTGAATTTGTGACTTCCTCATTTATTTTTTATTTTTAAATATTTTCATATATATGGAATTGTGGTGTGAAAATATAGAACAAAAGAATGCTGAAGCATAACCTTTTGTTATAGCTATTTAACAATGAAAAGTGATAATAAGAGTAATTTGATTTTGGGACCAAGTTTAAGATGATATAGAAAAAAAAAAAAAAATAATTAATCAATGACTGTTTGTTATAATAATAATAATAATAATAAACATTCAGGAATGATAGTGAAAACGTTCTGAAAATCATAGGCTAACATTGGAAAAGGTTGACCTAGAAGTTAAAAAAAGGTCAAATATTTTGCTTTTCCGAATGCCGACCTACACATAGTTTTAATATATATGACTTGTACATGAATTCGGCGCCCCTCAACCTCTACGCCTCCAAAAACTCTGACACTGCAGCTCTCTGTTTTTCCCTGTAAGTTAACCTCCACGTTTGTTAAACATCAATATTGACTTGGAAGTTTGGTCTCCTCCATCAATTTTATTGCTGGAACTTGAAGCTTTGCTTCTGTTTTCTTTCTATCGATGCGACGTGCGCAGTTTTTAAAGTTTAGTCCTGCTTCGAAACAGTTTGACTTGGTTGTGTTATCTTATATTTTTTTCCCATGCTTTTAAGGAATTTTTAACGGTATCCCATGATTTTACAGATTACTTAACTTAGCAATAATCTTTAATTTTGCGAATCTGCTTACCGTGATATAATTTAATGACTGCTCTTGTTTCTGATGTGTGCCTCGCTATGTTGCTTATTTCTTCATTGGATTATGTACTATGCTTGTTCTACACATGCTATGTCACTTGTTCGTACTCTTCACAAGCTTTGCTTCTGTTTTCTTTCTATCGATGCGACGTGCGCAGTTTTTAAAGTTTAGTCCTGCTTCGAAACAGTTTGACTTGGTTGTGTTATCTTATATTTTTTTTCCCATGCTTTTAAGGAATTTTTAACGGTATCCCATGATTTTACAGGTTACTTAACTTAGCAATAATCTTTAATTTTGCGAATCTGCTTACCGTGATATAATTTAATGACTGCTCTTGTTTCTGATGTGTGCCTCGCTATGTTGCTTATTTCTTCATTGGATTATGTACTATGCTTGTTCTACACATGCTATGTCACTTGTTCGTACTCTTTACTGTTTTTTTTTTTTTTTTACTTCCAGCTCTGTGATAAGTTGGCATTAGGGGTTTTGATAGTTCGATTGCTGATGGAGAACCCATCAAAGCTTATGGTACCGAGCTCTTCTAAGGGAAACAACGTTGCTAGTAGCCATGACAGACTCATTGGACTTCCAGAGCACATTATTCATCACATTATTTCATTCCTTGGGGCTAATGATATTGCTCGGCTAAGCTTTGCCTCGAAAGGATATCGACAGATATGTATTTCTAGTCCTTATTTGTATTTCGATGTTGATTTTGCTTCACATGAATGTGCCACCAAGTGTAGCCAGTTTAAAGAATTTCTCAGCAAGTTTCTGAGATCCCGCAATGGCCAGCGGATACAACTGCTTCGTTTTCGTTGGCTATGTGATTCATGTGGGTGTTCTCATGAAAGGCCCTATGATTCCTGGGTTTGTGATGCTTTAAGGTGTGATGTTAAAGAGCTTGATCTTGGATGTCGACTTGATGAACAGAATCGTTTCGCTTTGCCGATGTCGGCAACTGGTTATGCTTCCTTGAGGGTGCTAAAACTGAATTTGCAGGATTGCTGCTTAGATGACCTCTTGCCAGCTACATTGGTTTCTCTCGAGGTCTTATCGCTGAAATCTTTACGAGTTTATGGGGCCTTATTGGAGGCTTGGATATCTACCAACTGCCCATCACTTAAAAGGTTAAATCTTGAAGCTATTAAGATTATGGATGGTTTCCCCATCTCCTTTGCTTCATCTCTTCAAGAGCTGACAATTCATAATTGCTATGTTAGTCACATCATGGGCTTCTGCAAGAATAGCATCAAGGGCTCGTCCCTTAAAAATGTAACCATATCTGATTGCATATTCAGAGAAGCTGAATTGTCCAAGATAAAAATTGCTTGTTCATCACTTGAAAATTTAACGCTCCGAGGTTGTGTCTTTGGATCCGGGTGCTATGTTTCCATCGCTTGTCCGCTCCTTGAAAATTTAACAATCCATAAATGTTTTGTAAATGAATCTAATGGCATTGACATCAGACACTGTCCGTCTCTGATAAATCTGATGATAAGTCAGTGCACGTTGCAGTTACTGCATCTCAACATTCCCACTTCCTCCCTTAGAAAACTGTCGATTTTTGAATGCAGCAGTCAGTTTCCTATTAGTATTGCTGTTTCAGCTGAGCAGCTTCAAACTTTGTCATTGAAGTTGTATGGTTCTTGGTGGAAGGGTTCAGTATTTGAAATTCAACCACAGAAATTAACTTGTTTACAAGAGGCGATTGTCGAATTCCTTGATCTTCAGTGCTTCATTATAGATAAAGACATCTGCAATTCTGTGTTAAGAGCAGTACAATACGCCCGAGTTTTGCAGTTAAGCATTCAAATTATTGAGGTAAATAATCATCTTCTTGATATGTTATTTCTTCTTCTTCTTTTTCCTTTTCAGCTTACAGACTTTCCCATTCTTCTGTGAAAATTTGATCGACCTTGATAATATACATAATAATAATGCAGGTTCTATCAGAAGAAGATCATGTGAAAATTTTATTTGAGAACTTGCTTGATTTGGTCATGGTATGTGACAAATTAGAGGCCTGCCAAATGATCGCAATGGCCTGCTTTCTCGTGAGGGCTCCAAACCTAAGGACACTGACCATAAGATATGAACAGAAGTCTAGTGGAATTTCTGAAACCGATGTAAAAGAGGATGTAAGAATCTCCCTTTTTCTCACTAGCAAGTTTAGTCTTAGTTTTTAGCCCTTTGACTTATTTTACATAATCTAATTTCTTTGTTTTGCAGCTTGCCAAGCTCTTGTCTTTGGCTGTGAAGAAGTACCAGTCGAAGCATGGGAATTCAGAAACCCTTTTGCTTGGTGATCAATTGATGAAACTGAAGCTATCTCTTCACAAAATTTAGAGTAAAACACTTTGGTACGTGCAGCAGCTTAACCATGCAGAACGAATAGAGCTAAAAACAATTCTTCATCAGAAATTAGTATTGATAGTTCAAGCAAATTAACATTTCCTACTGATGCCTTTTGTTTTGTTCCTTTTGAAGGTTTTTGAAATGGTTTTTCAGTATCTATGTATGAAATAACCACTTAAAAGGACTTCACTTCGGGAGCATGTGGTTTGTCATTGATTCAAAAAGTAGCCCATATTTATAAATAAAAAAAAAACCACATTGAAGATTATTTGAGTTTCATAGGATAACATTGCAAGGTTTAACCAAGAGGTACCCAAGTGAAACGCTGCAGAATCTACAGGGGCTGAAATGTGCCTTACCGGCTGAATTATTTTAATACTTCTTAGTATCTGCACTTGAATTCTCCATCTGACTTCCACGACACATAAAAGGATGACCAACAAGTCTGTTAAACCCCATTAGTGAGCTGAAAGTTTCGTCTATTTTATAGCTGAAACTTGAAGTTTTGCTTATGTTTATTTTTGCTATATGAGAAGTTATTTTAATTTCAGGACTTAGCCTAGTAGTGCTCTTTCTATTGCATTTAGGTTCGAGTTCTGGTGTGCATGTCTGTCACCCCTGTGGTGTCTTTCATGTTTACTGGGTTTGCAGAGTATTCAATGAGTCGTGGGGATTAGTCGTGGTGCGCGCAAGCTGACCCGGACACCCCACATAAATAAATAAAAAAGTCATTAGATATGTTTTTGAATTTTATTGAATATCGCTATATCAGAGGTTATTTCACATATATACGTAAAATAGGCATTAGATATGTTTTTGAATTTTATTGAATCTTTTTCTTGACTCAATGTCTTCAGCATGTTAGGTTGAGCAGTAATTTTATGATGGTCGGATAAGTAATTAGTTATATTCTATTATATTTGAAAAATAATAGATATAAGTAAGAGAGAAAATGTATGGATTCGGTTTTTTTCTAGCTTTCACTTGTATCATTAAAAAATATTATTTTTTAAATATTATAAAATTTTTCAAGTTAGGAGTAGCTTGATGAATGAATATAGGACAAATATTTGAACGTTCACTTGAATTGCCGAATAAAATATTCAATATAGTAAACAAAAATTAAGTTCCTTTTAATCTAGGCAAATTTTTCAAACATGTAATCCCTATATACACACTGGTGCATTCCTAAAACATTAATTATAATCTCTTACTTTTGAAAAATCAATAATTTTGATTTTAAAGGTTAGTATAGTAAGCTAAAAATTTCTGGCAATAAGTTGATGTAACTTCGAGACCCCATCGAATCTGCCTATCAACAGTACCTCTCTTAAATTTCTGGGTTTGACATTCTTTTCCGCGTTACTGTTTCAGCTGAACAACTTCAAACTTTGTCAATTGTGGCGTCAAAGAAGATTTGAAGTTTAACCACAGAATTTGCTTTGAAAACCCTTTTTTTTCCATGTTTACAACCAAACACATTTGTGTGGCAGCTATTTTCATCTTGTTTGTTCCGAAAAAGTAAGCAAATGCTACCTACAAGGTGTAACTATTAAGTTTCTTAACTTTGATTCTTTCTCTAACAAGAATAGCAGCAATGGAATGCTGAGAAGAGTAAGATATGCTAAGCATTAGAGATGAGCGTAGAAATTATTGAGGTAATTAATCATTTTTCTTATGCCTACTTTAATCTTTATGTTGCTAGATTACATACGTCCTCCTGTTAAAAAATATGGCTGACCTTGACGCGGGTTCTGTCGAAGAAAGATCACCTGCCAATTTTGTTTTGATAACTTGCATGATTCTGTTGTGTTATGTGGCAATCCAGAGGCCTTCCAAATGATAACAATAGCCTGCTTTCTCATGGGTGTTCCAATCTGAGGACAGTAACAATAAGTTATAATCACAACCCTAGAAGATTTTTCTGAAGGTGATGTAAGAAACAAGGTATGTCTAAAATACTACTGCCTGGTGATCGATTTACGAGTAAATAAGCCTTTATTGTCTCAGGGAAGTTGCTATAGATGAATTTGATTTGCAAATGGTTTGTTGCCTCCGAAATGCAAGACATTTGGTTGCCTTCGCTGTTTCACGTAGCAAATCTTTGTCCCTCTCTTTGTGCAACTGTGTCTGCTTTGTCAGTCAACTTCACAAATGCATACATGCAATTCACTCGTAGATTACAATGTTTCGTAGCAATGAACTTGATGCCTGCATACTGGAGCGCAAATTCGAGCAAAATCTGCTTTAACAAAGGTGGATGGATTCTGGTCCCTAGTGGACAAAGCTACGATTTTTTCGGGAAGTTTATAGACATCCGAAAAACATAGCATAACGTCTCTTGGACAAGAAAGGGAAAATGCACTTGTCGCCCATGATCGCTTTATTCACAGCCATGAACTTAGCGTTATGATCGCTTTGTCCAGTGCCAATCCTACATAAAGGATAGGAACCAATCATCACTATGATCAAGCACATAGCCTCTTCACACACCCTCACCATGTTATCATGTACATGCAATGCCTATATACTGGAGCATTAATCGTCAAACTGAAATGTCCTGTAGCTCTTCGCATTGCACTCACAGTTGAACCTTGCAAACCCCTCCAGCAGGAGTTCTGTCAAGAGCGCGGTTATCAAGGATCTTGACACGATCATTCTTGAAGGACAAACAAAGATCATTCATAACCATTTTTTTCACGAACAAGATCAAATACGAAGAATACTTTATTAAGTTAATCTCTAAATGTAGATTTAGCTTCACAACACCCCAATGTTATGGTCAAGGCCAATTAATATATCCTCAAGAAACAGAATCCAAATTTGTTCGAGATGTTGTCTCTGGATTCTGAGGTATTAAGCAGTGATCAACGATAGGATTTAATGATGTAAGCAAATTCGAAATGCTATAGAAAGTGAAGAGAACTGAGTTGCAGCTGGGGAGGAAAATTCTATAATCAGTTTCTTTTTCGTGACTGTCAGAAATTACTCTTCATTTTGACAATAAAGAATTTCTCATGTTTCTTCACTTCATTGTGCATCCTCAAATGGTAGAGCGTAACTGGCCAGAGATCATTTCTCTCTCTTCAGAATGTCACAGTTACTTTCTTTCATCCATATATCCAGAGACAGGTAATAAACTACCGCAGAAATACAAAGTACCTTTTTAAAGCTTTTGTTTCAGACAAGCTCCCAAAGGCCATGAAAAGAGTGAATTACCAAAATATCCAATTAAAGAACTACACATTAACAGCAGACATGTCCACTTTCCTGGGAGGATGCACCACATTTTTGTTTCCAGGGAAGGCATTACGTGAGATGTCTACCAGGGCCTTGAAACTATATGGTTCATGCATGGATATCTCTGATAAGACTTTTCTGTTCAGCTGAATGTTCTCCTTCATCAGCCCATGCATGAAGTTACCATAATTAACCTGATAGTGATAAATAAAAATATAGCAGAAGAAGAAACCGAAGGTCAGTATCTCATCATGGAGAAGTTTCATTATAAGAAGGAAAATATTTAAGTTGCACTGCCCAAATATACATCAACATGATCCAAAATGATAAAGAAGTCAATTGCACTTCATTTTTTCCGTTTGTATTATATACTAAAAAAGAACAGAAAAGAAAGTCAAAATCTAGAATAAGTAGATTAAAAGAAACCGGGATTCTACCCCCTGGAGAGCAGAATCATCTCACTTCCTAGTTCATATATCAGTGAATAGTAACCTATTTCACAATTCCATCCCTGGAGAACAGAATCATCCAACATGAGCTACAATTCACACAATAGCAAACCACTAGCTCCAATGCTGAAATTCAAGTCTGATAAAGGTATTTCTTTCATGTAGAAGTTTTCTTGTTCAAGTAAAGATTCAATAACCTCTAGGGCAAGGCAATGCAACAATCCAAATGAGAAAACATAGCAACAAGTTCAGAAAACATAGAGCATGTCTAACACAAGGTACATTCCATATGGTATAAACATTGATTTCAGAAGCACTGGAATCTAATAACCTGTTCATCACATGACTCAAGAGTCGAGTCTCAACACAAGTCTAATAAAAATGGCAGGCAAAACACGATGAACCACATCATTTCTCATTATGACAACTCCTGCACAAAAATGAAAACAAATATGCAGCTCAACATGCATGTTTGGATCATTTCATCCAAAGCATATGAAAGCCAACCTACTCTCCATTACCTAATGTAGCTACCACATCAACCACTACAAAGCAGAGTCCTTAGGCCTTCAACTTTCTCCAAAACCACTTCTGTTTTATATGCTTCACTGCACTTTCAACCGCCCCTACGCATACATCAGACAAGAAAAAATTGCTCTAGACCAAAAAATTATTAGAACGTTCTATACATGACCAAATCTTAGCTTGCACAACCGATTAAACTCTTTTCCCTCATCAATAGAAAGGATCTCTGCCAATGCAAACCACTGATCATCATAAAAACAGTTCTCACACTATCAAGACTTTGATTACTTCCAATTTAAAACTTATTAGCGAAGATTATGTCTTTGAAACACCAAGCCCTGAGCTTTACATGCACACTCCGAAACAAATCATCAAGATAAAGACTTCTATTTTTATTTCAAAATTATATCAGAAGAAAAATTAAAGGAGAGACTAGAATTCATCTGAGTTCACAGCTAAAAGCCTCAAAACATCAACCTTTATATAAATTGCAATTCAAAATCTACATTTTCTAGCAATTACATCTCATTATTTTCAATTCAGACTGCCAATCAGTAATTCATTCAAGAAAATCAAAACCAAACAAAGAAAAATCAAGACTTCACCAAGAAAAAAAGCACAACAAACCCAGAAAAGAAAAGTCATTCATTCAATGACAAGAGAAAAACCCACCAACAAGATGGGTAAAAAAATAAAAAGAAAGTAAGGAAAATAGACTTACACCATGTTGGCGGGTGCCAGCATTGATGCGTTGGATCCAAAGAGAGCGCATGTCCCTCTTCTTGTTGCGGCGATCTCTGTAAGAGTACTGCAAGGCCTTCTCAACCCTTTCTCTAGCTATCCTTATACAGTTCTTTGCTCTTCCTCTAAACCCTTTTGCTAGTTTGAATATTTCCTTCTTGTTCATCTTTTCTATTCGTCCTGTCTGTGATGTTGCTGGCTAGTATGATGCTGGAAATGGGTTTTTCTCGCTCTTGTTT